CTAATCTCTAATTTTCTAAGACATGGAGCTACACAGTTTTCATCTAATTTCGTGAGTAAGCTTACAGTTAAACATGAGATCGCAAAGCCTCAGGTTACAGTCTGTCGTTTCGCATTTTACAGATCTGTAAAATGCGAAATCTTCGTTTCGCATTTTATTGTTTCGTTTCGTTTCGTTTCGTGGTTTATGGTAAGCCTCTTAAAATGCCACGTGGCCAGGGCTACTTCTATCCGGTCCTAAAATCCCTCAGAAAGACTCTTGAATTAAAGGAGAGACATAACAACCTTTTTGGTTATTATAGATAGCCAGCATATGTTATATTCTTTTGAATTACCATAAACAATTTTCTGTTACAAATAAAGTTGATATACATGTAATGTGATACATCGAAGTTTCTTTTTAAGTGTGTGTCAGTTGAGTGAAGACCGTGAGTGAGATGTGACTTGCCTGTTTTCACAATACTAACCACATTTATTTCTTTAAATTTAGAGTTACCCAAGCAGCGGCCAAGATCAACTTCAAACGTTAAAACAGAATCTGAAAACCCTGACAAGAGCGAGCAAACAGGAAATCTAAAACAAAGCAAGGAATATGGCGTTGGATCTCACCCAAATCTATCGAATTTAAAGGAAATGCACAAAGATCGCTCGGCAACGCTGCCACCTTCGTTTAGACGAGGTAAGCGACAGAAACAATGAAGCGATGTTTTGATTTACTAGCGTAAATCGAGGGCCGGGATGGGCGAAAAATACCGGGCTGAAGAGAACCCATATTCAATGCACTTGCTGCGCTGCCTGGCCTTCTATCTCTGCTTCACTCAGTACTAGACCAATCATATGGCATAATGCTGCAAATTTTAACTTAGCGTAATTTACTACCACCACCACCACCACCAGTCCCCTTTTCATTCTTTCTTTTATTCAGTTAAGGAGTAAATACAAATTTGAATAAGGAAGAAAATTCGCGAAGCATTTTGGTAGTTGTAGTAAAAATGACGCCATCATGTAAACGGCCTATTCCGACGGTCCAGGGGTGGATCTAGGATTTTTCCTGACCAGTGCCAATTCTCAAATCCACCTATTCCAAATCTTCAATAGTGTAATATTTACTTCTTGTGTATAATGGAAGTAGCTAATATTGACTGTGAATACATGTTGAATTAAAACACATTGATATAAATTACAATATATGTGATTTCTGATGTATTTAGGTAGCCGGAGAGAAGGAGAGAAAACACTAGACACAGAAAACAATAGATTCAATTATTCAAACACAGCCGACTTACTAATAGCAATATAAGACAATTCTTACTTATTCTTGCTGTAGCAAGGTATTTAGCTGCTGATTTACAGGAACCGTTTCTTGTCTCATACTTCGAAGGAAATTATTCATTGCAACAACAGAGTAATTATGTGTTTGACATTTGCCATTTGAATGATTTCCTAGGCGTTGAAAAGCAGTTGTCCAAAAGGTCAACGGCGACTTGACGACCACTTTCTTTGGCAAACATAGAGCAGGGGAGGCAGAAGGCTCCATCGAGGTACTTTGAATATACCAACCAAGGAAAACTTTTCAACCAGACTGGATTAAATCTTCTGGTTCTGCTGCCTTCTTTTGACTTAGGAAATTGAAAATCGCTATTCGGTTTCCATACGTTAGTGATAACTTCATGTTTCTTTTTTAATCCGATAAACCATTAAGATCATCAAATAAGACCCCAAAATCATATGGAGAACAATCCTCCTTTCGAAAGGTTGGTTCTCCACGAGTTATATAAGCCATGCATGCTTTGTAATTCTGCCTGTAAATAACGTGTATACTTGTAATCTTTGGTCACACTACGTCGACTAGCGTCTTTCTTACCAGTGCCGACTAGTGCCAACCACATAAGTAGCCAATAGCAAGCGACTTTGACTAGTGCCAAAAAACAAAGCTAACTGGTGCCAGCCAATGGGATGAGCGTTTGACCAGTGCCACATATCAATGCCGTGACAACCTTGACAGTACAACTGAAAGCAATTCTTGGTTTTCACCTACGTCATCATGAATTTCAAAAGCGTAAATTCGCATTATAATAAAATAGAAGTTTTATATTCTTGTAAAGCGGTCCAAACTACATATTCTGGCCAAATTTTAAGGCTGTAAAGCATTTAGTTGCGGAACTATAGGCGAGTAAACATGACGCAATTTTTGGTTAAAATGTATGGAGCCGCCATCTTGGTGTTCCAAGTTGGTACACCATCATGGCGGATGAAATTCCAAAGGCTTAAAATGATGGAATATTTAATATGTTTGACTATTTTTCACTTAAATATACTTTAAATAGATATTTTAAACGTGTCTAAGGTAAAATTTTCAACTAAAGTAAATTATTTTAATATTTTTATCGCTATTTAGATAGACGTGACGGTATTGCGTGACACAAACTCGACCTTCATAACTCGGGAACCAAACATCGAAATGAGTCAAGATTTTTTCTTGTGACTTATAACACTGATTTCTAAAACATACTTGAGAAATGTCTTTATACGATCTATAGTTTAGATTTTGATGTTTTGATGACGTCATGTGAAAACCAGCAATACATTCCCGTGGGCCCCGACCCTAATACACAAATTTTGTCTCAAGAATATTTGTTTCCGGAAAGAACGACCGGAAGTGCAGGCATTTTCGTGGGATTAAAAATGTCGAAAGATTTTTTTGTATGAATTTCGCTTATGATTTATTTAAAGAGTATTAATTTCTTCTTTTTTCAAAAACTTTGACTAGTTCCATGGAACTAGTGGCACTAGTCTGGATCCACCCCTGCGGTGGGTGGTCAATTTTAGTCCCATAATGCATTGTATTCAAAGCTTTTTTAGGATTTTTAAGCAGACGCTTTTGGTGCTGTTCTCTCTCTATTTTTCTAATCTTATAAAGCCGTAAAGTATTAATGGTCAAATAATATAGTTTAGTAGTATTATTCATTAATTATGAGCTCTGTTTATTTTTCATTCCATCAAATAACAGCACTGAGAAGGATTTTAGTGCCGGCGCTACCTTCGATCCGCAGCTGTCCTTAGTTTTAAGATTTTCCAGTTTTTTACTTTGTCAACCTCAGGGTTCAGTATGTTCCTATTACTTAGTGGAGATTGGGGGTAAACGATGTTCAGTGTTTTCGTGAGTCAGTTTTCTGTTTATCATACAGTTGTGTGGGTTTACCTATTCCCTTCATTTCCGTGGGATTTTTCTTATCAATATTATTGTAAATGAACTCACTTCCCTTCCTCTGATTATCCAGATCAAAACCTGCCAGTATATTTTCTTCCGTCTTTTTGTACAATCGGATACTGTTAAATACACATGGGCAGATAACTTGGCATGGCATTTTCTGATTCTCAATCAAGTCGAAATCCAATCTCGATGGAGCTTAAAGTCATAATTAGTTTCCCGCCACCGTACGTACTTTCTCTTCACCTCGTCGTTGGGATCCCTGTGGCATAATAGAACGCTCTATCGTTGGTATTCTTGTGGCAAAGCCAAGGCACACTCTATTTTAAAGACAAGAAATGAACTTTAAAAAAATGTTAATCCGTAATCTCCGCAGTAAATAAAACGTGGCGTTTTCTAACGCGTGGTCGTTACAAGTAAACACAAAGGTTTTTTCATATTCATAAACTAAAACGACTAAGAATTCCTGGAATATTTCCCTAATGCTCTAATGGCCTATCGGTTTTTTTGGGCTCCATTTTCTGTTTCCGTTACCGGAAAAAAGAACTAAATGTGTCTTATTATGATGGAAATAGAATACTTCTCATAATAAATGGATACCACTAGTTGACATTAGTGTAATTCAGTTGTCAGATTTTAACCAAATGCAATCAAAAATCTTGAGTTCACTAGCCACCCCTTTTCCGCTCTACCATCTAGTCGTGATTAATAAGGAAACCATGTCCCCGATCGTCAAAGCTTGTTTTCAGATACTATATATCCTTCCGCGAGGCATTGTTAGCATTCTCTTGGCTCATAATAGAATTGAAAAATCCCTGTCATGTTGACGAAGGATCAACACTTGCCAAAGATGCTTTGGGATAGGCTGAAGTTGTTCAAACATTGAATAATCTAATCAACTTCTTCAACAAGTAGAAAACAGAAAAAATATTTTGAAGAAGGTGCCAAAGCTTCTCGTAAAGTATGCTAAAGTTTAAGAGAGTGAAATCAAAGGACCATGTGGTTTCAATTGATGAAGAATCCCTGCACAAGAAAGCACTTATTCAAGGTCAATACTAAAACAGTGGGGGTTTATAATTCTTAAATTCAGCGCTCTAAAACGTACAGTTCATGTTCATGACTGGATTTCTTTTGTTTTGAACAGATAGTCACTTCAGATCGTTGCATCGCTACGAGCCGCATAATAGTTCTTCAGGTGAGATAATGTATATCATTGATCTCTTGTATATCGCTAACTGTGATAATCAAATTACCCAAATCTTTCTATGAAACTCGGAAAACTTTTAGAAGATTTAATCATGAGACCATTTGCATTTTATGCATTAAATTAGAGTGACAGAATGTTAAGGGCATTTTTAAATCGTTATATTCATGCAGTCTTTTATATTGATGAAAAACAAGATATTTTATATTTGCCTTCGACGAAGTTTAGACAGTCCATTTTGAAAAATACAAAGACAGCCACGCTGGCTAATCATCATTTGAATCCAGTCAATTGCCCTCTTAACCTCAAACTCCACTTTCAGTCATATACTTTCTAGACTGTGTTCAGTCCGTCGGTATGATTTCTCTCGGAAGAAGGTTTTTTTATTTCGAAAGAGAAATTATACTGGCTGAACGAAGGCTAACACTTTGAAGCTTTAAAATATTCCCTTCGACGTTTCTAAATTTGGAAGTTGACAACTTATACAATGCTACATCTGTTACATCTTTAAATTCAGTGGAAATGTAAAGTTTTTAAAAGTTTTTTAAATAAAGTGAATAATTTGAAATCAAATGTCTTCAGAAATACTGCTGTTGTTAATAATATAACTAACTAACGTTTACAACACCAGAGTGGTAGCCATCTTTAGATTCAAGTTTTAAAACCCGTTTTTTATCTTTTAATATTTCTGATAGAAAACCTCAGCACCTCGCGTCGTAGCCCAAGCCCGCCATCTCAACGACCCAAAAGTATGCCCCCGAGTTACCACAAGTCATTAGAGAACTTACACGAACAATTCTGGAAAAGTGTACAACTGGCTGAACGTAAATGGAGTACAGCAAAAACAAGTAAGTCTCCTTATCATGTTTTTTTCCCCATAGATATTCTTCATAGATATCTCTTGAATTTGAAACTAAAAAACTTCGAGTCAGTCTTTGGTATTCTCCATAGCCTCGCATAATAGACCCCTTGCACGTGACGTCAAAGGAGCTCAATTTGTAGGACAAAACAAAACAATTTAAATCTTTTGAGAATTGGAATCCTATTATTACATCCTCGGTCCAAATAATTGAGCTGCATTCCGACGTGCTGCGAGGGGTCTATAGTGTAAAGGGTGGCATGCGCTGTTGTCTCTCATCACTGTGTCGATTTGCGGCTGAGCCACGTATGGGAGTTGAGTTTGTTAAGTTGTTCTCTCCCTTGGCACGAGGTTTTTTTTCTCCAGATTATCCGGTTTTCCTACTTTCGTAAACATCAACATGTTAGTTGAGTAATGATGAAAAGGTAAATTATACACCGTGAAAAGATGAAAAAACTTACTGACGTTTCCGACGCTAGTCCTTCGTCTTTCACTCTCTTACTCCGACGAAAAGGACTAGCGTCCGAAACGTCAGTAAATGTTTTCATCTTTTCAAGGTGTATAATTTACCTTTTTATCATTACTGTTTCGTTAGAAACACCGACGCAGCTCACACTAGTTTTTAACTAGTTATATCTTCTTATGTTAATAAAAAGATATAACTAGCTAAAAACTAGTGTGAGCTGCGTCGGTGTTTCTAATGAAACAGTAATGATGAAAAGGTAAATTATACACCGTGAAAAGATGAA